TTCTAGCGAAGATTGCCGGAATGCCCGTAGCGCAGCAAATACCTTCTCTTCTCCTTCCTGGAAAACGAACCGGCTGTCGAGCCAAGGGGTAAGCAAGCGGCCATTACGAATTCTTCTGATGTCGAGACAATCTAGGAGCCCGCGACGTGCTTCTTCTTCTGAGGCCAGATGGGCGAGATCAGGTCAGATGCCCCACGAGAAAGGAAGTCACGTGTGTGCGCCGAGGGCTGGCCCGGCTGGCTTCCGGTTGAATCCGCCGAAATCGTCGGAGCGACTTTTCTCAGATCCAGATCGAGATCTGGAGACTACCTTCTGTTGTGTTCTCTTCCTGCCCCAGTCTCAGGTTTACAATCATGTTCACGAAGTATAGCTTGGCACCAAAAACATGATGGCAATTTTGATGCGAAAGCATTAACTGTCCAAATTAGAGAAGCCGGTGCAACATTAAAACGGCACCTCAATTCCCATTGGCTGCGACGCGTCATGTGGCCCCATAGCAATGGCGTCATCGTTGCTAAGGGGCCAGCCGAACTCCGGAGGCGCAGCGGTAAGGGGGTGTGGGGGGGGGGGGGGGGGGGAGGGGGGGACATAAGAGGACACGTGATTTCAGCACGCGGCGCGCCGAGCTTCGCACTCCCGGCGCCGTGCCGAGATTCGCACTCCCGCCACTGCCTCAAGCGCGAGACACATGCGCGAAAAAGCCATGCGATCCGACGTGCGAACCGCCGGAACGACGTCCGAGGGCGAGGGTTTTCGTCGCACCGGAGCGTCGGACGAGGCCTCCGTCCGGCGCCGGCGTGCGTCCAACTTGCCAGATATCGCCGCACGCACGGTCCGATTTTCGGAAGGCCGCAGTGGACGCAGCCAATGAGCACGGATGGCGAAGGTCATGTTGTCAAGTGACTTTCGGACCGATCGGGCGAGGAGGCGCGACGTGGTTCGGGGAAGCGGATGTGGCGGTGCGCGGTGCGTCACGCGACGCGAGTCGTCGTTGTGAAGGAAACGGACGCCATCGAGTTTTTCCGCGCGCACAAAACGAGCTGCTGATTTCGCGCGCCAAAGCAAGCCGGCCTTCTGGGACCGATCGAGCCCGTCGAAACCCGAATATACTCCGTTTCACCTTAGGATGGACAGCAGCGGACGCTACGAGCCATTCCAATGTCATGTGAGCTTCGGGAGAGACGCAGTTATGTGCGCGGTACGTAGTCACGTGATTTTTACGCAGTGCTCGTTTCGCTGGGATGGCTCTAAGGTCCGCTGCGGTCCTTCGCGATTAAGTGATTTTGAGCAGAAAATAGCCTCACGGAAAATCTTCACACACGCACACTTTAATAGAAGGTAATAAAAATATTATGTTTGTTTTAAAGCCAGAAAAACGAAGAAGGGCGAGGGAAGTATTTTAGTTTTCTAGGCTAGGTGGCGCGAGCTACCGCCCGTTATAACTATAGCCATTAGTATCCATCCATCCATTTGGTAGAGGGACACCCGAAACTGGGCGGAGCTGAACGGAGCGACGCAACGACGCGTCGGAAACCATGTGTCGCGAACCGTCCGGTGCGGCGATTCTGAGCAGCCATCTTCCCGACAGTTCGCACGCCGGATCGGACAGTTTTGACGCGCATGTGTCTCGCGCTTCACCCAGCGGCGCAGCAGCCACCAGCGAGTCAGGGCGGTCTGCGCTGCGCGCCGCCGCACTCTTTGCCGGCGCTGCGGCCGCTTCTGCTCCTGTCGGCGCCAAGGAGAATGGCGACGCCTGAAGCATCTGTATCGTCGGCGGCCGCAACCTCGGCAGTTGCGAAATGTGGCCGTCCACGCCAGTACACATCAGACGAGCTAAGGGAGCGGACGTTAATCCTTTCGCATTCCCAACTCATAAGAACTGCTGAGGTGTCCTCGGAATTTTTTAATTGGCATCTCGTTCTTAGTGCATAGAAGAGGAGGTTGTTCCGTGTATGTAGAATAACAAGATAATCGATACAGACCAATAGTTGTGAGTCAGCGCTGAGCGATTGTGTTAAATTTTAGTGTGGCTGTGAGTGTTCTGGTGCGCTGCAACGTTAAATAGCAGGGTAAGGTGACGAAAGGAAGGCGGCTGATTGGTCCGGCAAGCGCGTAGCTCCCACTGCCCCGTCAACTTGGGGGTGACCGGAGTGCAGTGGGGACCAATGCCACCTCCCCTGGGGAAACAGGGGCTGTTGCAGAAGGTGTCCTACCCCCCAAGGCATTCTACCGAACTCTTGGCAAGCCGTTCTACAGTCTCGACAATGCACCGAGAGAAACTGTGCAAAGTCTGATGTGGTATCCTAAAGCCAAAACATCGAAAAAATATAATAGTGAGCAACGTTGCGTTAAGTTGCAATTTGTTCTTCCGGAGACTCGATTTTTTAGAGAAGGGACTCGAAGAAACAGCTTTATGCTACGCTACAGTCCCTCTAACTCGAACTCCTGTAGTGTACAGCTTTTGATGGACACCACGCTTGCATTTAAGAAACCTCTACAACTTCGGAAGGTATTCAGACTCGCGCGCTTTTATTGCACGCACAAAATTTCATGGTATGTCGGTGGAAGAAGACACCTACACAGCACGTTACACCAACGAAGAAGTATCGGGTGTTAGGAGAAAAGAGCTCTGCAGGCTTCTCAAAAACAAACAAACATATATTGTAAAATACCGCAGAAGCACCCGCTTTGTTGAAATGTTCACTATTAAAGGGATGCTGAACAGAAATTTTGATTCCACAAAACACGCGGTAAAGGTGGGCAACGGGATGCTACAAACACCAAAACATTAAGGGCTGTTTATACTCCAACGTAACGTCGACGGGCGCGCACGCCCAACCGCGTTGCCTGACGTTGCTACGAAAGGACAGTTTATACTCTGACGACAGGTGGAACGCCTCGCAACGTAACGCGCCCCGGCGCGCGCCAGCGAAGCTCACGTCGAGGCGGGCTGTTTATACTCGAACGTAACGTCGACGGGCGCGCGCTCCCGAGCGCGTTGCGTGACGTAGCTGCGAAAGGAGAGTTTATACTCCGAACACAAGTGGACCGCCTCGCAAAGTAACGCGCCTCGGCGCGCGCCGGCGAAGCTCACGTCGAGGTAGGCGCTGCTCGAATCTCGGCGTCGGCCGACGACGGTCGTCACCCAGAATTCCTCGCGCGAGCGTCAGTTGGAAAGAAAAATGGCGAACGGAGGTGCCGCGGAGTGCGAACCGAGCGATCTGACGACGGACGAGGTTGAGCGGCTCATTGAAGCGGTGAGAGAGCGCGAGTGTCTTTATGACGTCGGTTCTCTAGAGTACAGGGATTCCAAGCGAAAAAAGAATGCCTGGGAGTCCGTGCGCATTGCCTGCGGCATGAAGCCCGGTAAGTTGACTAGGGTGATTTCATGTGCGCTTTGCTTGGCGTGAGGACATCTGGCCATTTTGTTTCAAACGCTTTTTTTTTGTGTGTGTGTGTTGAAGCGCGTGAAAGAGCGTGTCCCTGCACGCGCGCGTGGCGCTGACTGTGCTACGGCCACGGTGTAGCTACGGCGACATTTTGCTTCCTGCGATTTCTTTGTATTTTCCCTGTGAGCGCGTGCTGTCGCCATCGGGTACTACAAACGATGGCATCATCCAAACAGAAATACATTGAGGCGCTCTAGTTATTTAGGACTTCAAACAGAAAAGCAGTGCAAGCGGCTTAACTGACATGGCAACTTGTTCAGCATTTTATTTTCGTATCACGTCTGCATTTGGGAGAACTGAATTCGACATATTTATTTCAGGTGAGGACGCACAAAAAGCGTGGAAGCGTGTACGCGACAGGTATGTTCGGGAGGTCCGCTCCATTGAAGCTGCCACAAAGAGTGGCAGTGGCTTCGTCCGGAAAAAACAATGGGCCTTCCTGGAAATGATGTCGTTTTACGAGAAACATATCCGACCCAGGAAGTATGTAAACATAACATGAGTCCTCAATTGCTGTCTAACTAAATTTCTCTCCCATATGTTGATCCCACTTGCAGGGCAACCACCAACGTAAAGGCACCACCTGTGGGCGACACAGCACAGTGTCTATTAATGGAAATGGTGGAATCTTCTCCTGACGACTCGACCATTCCCACTGACTTCAAGCCTGCCCAAGAAGAGCTGCAGTGCAGCCCCGAGGCTCCTGTCCCAGCCACGCCGTCCACCTCGGGTGAATCCACATCAAGCACCTCGAGGAGGTCATCAGGCCAGTCACAAAGGTGCCCAGGACCCCCCCATTCTGCATGCAGAAGGGAGGCTGACACAATGGAGAGAGAACTTTTAAATCATTTAAGGACTAAAATGACACAGAACGAGGCGTTTTGCCTACTCTGTAGCACAATCTCTGGATCGTTGGGACGAGGTCACTAGTTCCCAATTCAGGGCTTGTGTAATGCAGATTGTGTATGAATATGAATGTAAATTTCAGCAGAAATAAAACGCCCCCGACCTTTGTGCATCTGAAGGCACACGTGTCCACTCATGTCTTGATAATATACACATTCTGTTAATATGAACTACATTTTCGAAGAGCAATCTCTGCTTATGCAATTCTACTACATCGTTAGAAAAAAAAAAAACATAATCTGTGAAGCAGTCTATGTTAATCTGAATATTATTGACTCTGTAGTTCAATACTTCAGAATTAGTTCTTGGAGGCAAGCTGCAGGGATGCCTATCACATAAAATAGCTTGAAAGAACACCTACAGACATTTTTCAAATTTACCCCAAGCGTCAAGGAAGTGGCTTAGAATGTAGGTACACACGAATGTGGACGATAGCTTGCGCAGCGAATGTACCTGCAAACCCGGCATGATCATTGGTGCTTGTGTAAATTAGCAAAATGTCTAGTGCACATAATAGCATCATCTGCTACTCAGACACACAGCCTGCGCTAATACCATTAATCAAACATGCTTTCTACCCATTACATTCGCTTTGCGGGTGGCACGCATTGCTCGAAACCTGTTTATATTTCCGAGAGAAATGCAAGTAGAAAAGCAGGCTTATCGAAAGTACATCTAGAATGTTATTTTACTCCTTTGTGGTGTAACTGAAAACATTAAACCCGACTTTTGGAATTAATACGCAAGCTGTCCTATTTCCCAAGTGAGCCACTACTACATTCCTGCGGGTTCACTTAATAAGAAGCCAATCATTTGGTATGCGTGCCTGTATCTCAGTGGCAAGCGAAAAACATGGATGGCCAATATTCCTCGCTTGTGCCAATTACCTCGCTCTCCCCTGTACAACAAAATTCACCAAGGTAGGCAGGTAATCTCTTTGAAGGTGAAAACAACGAGGGATTGCGAAATATATTTTTCCGGTCAACCCTGTTAAGCAAGCAGAGCAGAGAAAATATATACAATTTATTTGCAAGGAAAGAAAAAATTCAACAGCATTGATAACAACCTTGTGTCGTCGTCTACTCCCTCGTCACTATGTCGTGTTGCCACGGGATGGCTCCCCTAGGGGAGATGAAGTGGTCTGCCAGCTGGTCCCTGATGCTGATTGCTGCTGGGCTGCTGTTGCCACCTAGGCTCCTGTTGACACCAACATTCAAAATGTCAGCTCGCCACTGACCATCCACACGGGCACCCCTCCTTTCACTGTAAGCATATCCAGGAGGGCAGTAGGCTTCATCCCGTGTCAGGAAGTTGTGGAGGCAGACTCCCGCTTTTATCATGTTTTCACAGTGCTCAACGAGGGAAAGACGACGACGATCCTATCTCTGGTAACCCATTTTGTGCTCTCCGAAGTAATCGTAAGAAACTATTGTTTTTCGTTTTGAGTAACCTCCAATTCTGTGACTACCACTAGAGAAAAGTACCTGACCTTTGTGTTCAAAGGGCCTCCTTTTGGGAGGCCGGAAAAATCTCGGAAATGACAACTGAGCCTCTGACCCCACCGAACCAACTCCACATGGAAGAGGACGAAGACCAGGCTACGGGCCCCATAGGTGACCTTCCACCTACTGATTCCATAAATGACTCACACAGTAGTTCCTCATCGACAATTGTATCCCTACGTGACGACGACGACATGCTCTCCGATGACGCACAGTACGAACTAGTGCATGGAAAGAAAAGACGCAAGACAAGCCAGAGCCCTGCATCACCACCTACGAACGAAACCAACTTACAGGTCGGATACACAGTACTGTTCATCCCGACAGCAAACGACAAAGTGGGATCTCTCAGCAAATTAAAGCTCACGGACTTCCTAAACAACGTTGCTCCAGGCATGGTCAGTGTAGTTCGAGTGAACGCAGCACGTAACATCGTTGCAGTAGATGTGAAACGACCTCTCTACAAGGCCGAACTTCTAAAGATAACAAAACTCTGTGACGTGCCTGTAAGAGCTTTTATACCTCGAGAACGCTCCAACTGTTTCGGCGTACTTCGAGATATTGATCCCGACTATACCGAACAAGACGTCAAGGCGCAGCTACAGTCCTCCATTGGAGTAACAGAAGTGAAGCGACTAGGCAAAGCATCGCCTGTTGTGCGAGTTGCATTTGCAGGTAAAATGGCACCCCAGCATGTCAAAGTGGGCCTTGTGAGGACTACAGTAATTCCTTATCGAGCACGACCCCTGCAATGCTACAAATGCCATAAATTTGGTCACATTGCAGTTGCATGCGCTGCAGAGTTCCAAATTTGCTATCAGTGTGGGCAAAGTCATGAAGGCGCATGTGAGGCCACCCCGAGCTGCGTGAATTGTCGAGGAAATCACACCTCTAATGCAACAGAATGCCCGGTCAAGCAAAGGGAAACAGAAATTATGAGATACCAACACGAAAATAACACGACACTTCGTGAGGCAAGGGGTGCTGTGTACGCGAAACGTCAAACCAACAAGCAAGTGAATGAAAAACATACACAGAGACCTAACATAACCAGTACGGCAGTGCCACCTTTGACTGATGAGGCGTTCCCTCCTTTGAGCAGCTCGGGGAAAACGGCTGAAGATGACCCCACCGCGGCATCCACATCATCAGACACACTAGGAAATTCTCAGAAACCATCCTTTTGGGAAAAACAACACATCAAAGACATTATCTCACACTCGTCTCCTCATACACATGCGTCGACTCCCAACCAGGCGAATGGAAGAGAACCTACCTCACTGATTAAAGTGATAGTGCCGTTAATTTTCTCCGTCCTTCGAAAAATATTGGACACAATACCACCATCATCAACGCTCCACCAAGTGATCACAGCAGTCCTTTCATTAGAGTCCATTATTTCAATGGCGTTCTGAACTATTCTCAAGCACGCCATACTCGCACTAAAAGGTCTATAACGCCTCCACGAAGCCCAGTGCTTTCACTTTTCTGCTCCAATAGCTAAACGACAATCAACGAAAAAGGCCAAGAGCATAAAACCTTTGCCAACTATACTACAATGGAATGTAAACAGCCTTCGTCCTCGCCTACCTGAACTTCGGCGCCGCCTCCTTACACTGCAAACAGATGTTCTCGCACTACAAGAGACTTACTTACCTAAAGGGCTTCACCGATTCTCCCCATATGTCCAGTACCACAGTGATACAATTCACCCCGATGGAAAATCTCGTGCATCCTTATTCATAAAAAAATCAATCTGTCAAAAAGAAATACCTTTGAAAGACTTCAACTCTACATATGACGAACACGTCGCGGCAATCATACGAATAGCCAAGCAGGAAGTTACTGTCATATCCACCTATGTTCGACCAAATACACCTTGGAATCCTAACGCAATCCGGAAAATTCGTGCACGCTGTTCTGGACCCATCATCTGGTGTGGCGACTTCAACGCAAACCATCCAGCATGGGGAAGCGACAGCACTACGCGACGAGGCACCATACTTTTGGACATCATCGCTGATTTGAACCTCCGCTGCATAAACACCGGAGACCCTACACTAGCACGGCCCAACCTTGAAAAAGCAAGCGTCCTAGACCTCACTTTGGTATCGCCTGAAATAGAGATAGTCTGGAGTCTCGAGCCCGACACATGGGGCTCAGATCATATTCCAATTCACCTCACTCCCCGCTACGGCCTCGCACCAAAACATCGTGTACATACAGTAACGAATTGGGATATGTATCGACAAATACTAGCAAAACTCTTTAAAAGCACTGGCACGGGTAGCATCCCACTAGAAGATGCAATATGTGTAGCTATCTCTAAAGCCACCAAAACAATCACCCTACCCGCGAACAACCCAGTTCCTGACCTTATATATCTCGAAATCCGCGCTGCCTCTCGACGAGCTCAGCGGATTGCGAGACGCACAAATGCCCCCGCCGACTGGACAAAATCAAGGCGAATAGACGCAAAACTACGTCGTCATACCAGACGCCTAGGCAGACAACAATGGCAACTTCGAAGCGAATCGCTTAAAACTGATTCGGGGTCGAGGCTACCTTGGACCACTGTGAGATGCTTACTTGAGCCTGTATCTCAAGCATATCCTTTTGCTGAGATAGCGATAAAAGACAACCTTACTATGGCCAACCTCGCAGAAAAATTCGCTGACGAATTCTCAAGGCCTGTATCTCCACCGCAAGGAAAACCTCCAGCGCCGAAGCCTCCAGTCCCAAATTTCACCCTAGCCACTATAAACGACGACTTCACAAACCCAGAGCTAGACTATGCCCTGACTCGCTGTCGCCGCAAGGGTGCCCCAGGAGCCGACGGCATTACAAACCAAGCCCTCAAAAACATTGACGCTACGGATAGACCCCTTCTTCTAGAGTACCTCAACGTGATTTGGCGATCCGGCGAACTTCCTTCCTCCTGGCTACATTCTACTGTAGTAGCCGTCCCAAAAGCAGGCAAGTCGAAAGCCATCATAACATCTTACCGTCCAATCTCCTTAACCTCCTGTGTCTGCAAGCTTTTAGAGCGGATGATCCACCGACGGCTCAGCTGGCAACTTGAAGACGCACAAGCGCTACCACCACAGCTATCAGGGTTTCGCGCGGGCTGCTCAACAGTGGACTCGATTGGAAATCTGACATCATCACTAGAGCAAGCCAAGGCACAAAAACACGTTCTTCATGCTGTCTTTCTAGACATTCACCGAGCATTTGATGCACTTCCACACAACGTGATTATGGAGCGCCTTCGTCATATCGGTGTCAGAGGGAGAACGTACAAGTTTATTGCGTCGTTTTTACAACGAAGAACCTTCCATGTAAAAATAGCTGGGCATACAAGTTCGCCCCGCGACTCTTCCCAGGGAGTACCACAGGGAAGCGTCTTAAGTCCCTTGCTATTTAACATCGTGATGGCCGGCCTACCTTCTGCGCTTCCTAAAGGTGACACAATCGCAGTCAACTGCGCTATCTATGCAGACGATGTTGCGCTCTGGTGTACGG